TAAACAATCAAGAATGTCTCCTTAGTGCAGAGAAATAAAGGTATTTGTCACTGGTGTCTTAGTTAGGGCTGCTGTTGCTCTGACGAAACTTCATGACTAAAAGCAACTTGAGGAAGGAAAGGGTTTATTTCACTCCCAGGTCCATCTAACAGCTTATTATCAAAAGCAGTGAGGGAAGAACTCAGAGCAGGAGCGGATGCAGAGGCTATGGAGGGGTGCTGTTTACTGGCTTGCTCCTCTAGGCTTGTTCAGCCTGCTTTCTTATAGAACCCAGAACCACCATCCCAGGGGCGCCGTCACACACAGTGAGCTGGGCCATCACATGTTAATCATCAATCCAGAAAATGCTTTACATGCTTGTCTACAGCCCGATCTTATGGAGAAATTGTCTTAATTGAGATTTCCTCCTCTCAGATGAGTCTAGTTTGTGTCAAGTTGACATAAAACTGCCGGTAACACAATCTCAATCTTTCAACACTCAAAGGAGAAAAATGGAACATTCTAGACTATCTACTAAAAAATAAAACAACATCAATAAAACATTTGGTGACCATTTCACTTAGAGGTTATTTAATAAATGGCTCATTGCAATACATGGATTTGCTCATCTCTCAATCCTCATCATCTTGGGTCCTCCTATAACCTTTAGACTACTGATGAACACTATCTTTCAAGACCTTCCCTCCTAGCATCCTTTAGACGCAGCAATTCCAATAGCCCATTTATTCAGCTCAGTACTCCCTCCCATAAACATCCTATCATTTCAAAACTCCTTTTCCTCTCGTTAGCTACTTCTGGAGGCAGAACAAAGCCTGGTTTCACCACTTCACAGATAAGTAATCACGGCCTTCATATACTGGTTCCTTATCTATAAAGTGGGGATAGGCACAGAACTGTTGTGGAGACACAACCATCTGCAGGGGGTCTAATATATGACAGTGCTTAATATATGGTATCTACTACTGGGTTCTTCTTTTAACAGTTTTTTCAATTTATTTTAAAGTGTGTGTGTGTGTGTGTGTGTGTGTGTGTGTGTGTGTGTGTATACATATGAATGCAGGGGCTCACAGAGGCTAGAAGGGCCAGATATCCCTGGAGCTGGAGTTAAAGGCTCACAAGCCATGTGATGTGGGTGCTGGGACCCAAACTCAGGTCCTCAGGAAGAGCAGAGGAGTAAGAGGGAACACATACACATGAATAAAAAAACCCACCAAGGTATTCTGTGTAAGGTACAGGTCAAAACCAGTGTGTTTTCCAAATATGAGTAGTGGTCAGGCATTATAAATAAAAGCTTGGTAGTCATTGCTAAGAACTTTTCAGATACATGGCAATGTGTATACATAAAAATAAACAGAAACTATCAAGAAAGCACAAGCTGTTTATTTTTTAATTGGGCACCATTTATCTGAATAAACTAAAAAATAGAGAGTCTTCAGAGTGGGCGATAGCACAGCATGTAAAAGCACTTGCCACCAAACCTGAGTTTAATCCCCAGAACCCATGTGGTGGAAAGAGAAAACCCACTCCTGAAAATTGACCTCTGACCTCCACATGTACACCGTGTTGTACCACACCACAATCAAGCAAGCCAGCCAGCCAAGTATAGTCTCCTGTCTAGGTGGTGAAGTCTAGAGAAGAGTACGCTTATTGGCTATTGAATACTAAATGGTTAGCCCTGAAAACCAACATACAATAAACATGATACAGACTAAGCAGGTTGTATTTATGTTTGCAAGCATATATATATATATATATATACATATATGTGCATGCACACACATGTATGTATGTAAAAACAACTAATGAAAAAAGGGACCAGAAATTTGAAAGAAAAGGAGGAGGGGTATATGGGAGAGTTTGAAGGGAGGAAAGAGAAGGTGGAAAATGATGTAATTATAATTTCAAAAAGAAATAGTTTTTTAAAAACCAAATATAGTCTTTGGACTGGAATAGTCCATCATACTATGCTCAGAAAAGACAAGGCATACTTGACCTCTGAACCTCATCAGTATACAGCTCTAAAGTGACTTTTTTCATATTTACTTGGATATATAATGAATTATTTAATTATATGGAACATTATTATAATGTTTATTTTAATAATTATATATATATATCCATACCTAACAATAGCTGCTCTATGCTTAAGAAACAGGCCTACTGTATAAAAAATAATACAGATGCAATGCACAAAATTTTAAGCATCCCTCTAAAATGTTAGGTTTGCAAAGATATTAGCACAATTATTTTTCACATAATGAACTCAATACAGAGGATCACATTTATTTTACCTGTAACACGAACTTCATAGTAATCTGTTCACTTGATTCTAAAGCATAAATCCTATGAGGCGCATCAGATTCTCTATTTTTATATAATGGAGCCTAGATTTGAAGGTCTGATTTTAGCTGGGAAAAGGATATACTCTAACAAGTCAAGCGACTAAACAGCTGCCGATGCTAAAAAGAGTTTCATATTATTCTGAGTTAGGCACTAATTTATGCTTTAAATTTTCCATCCTGTGATAATCTTTTTAGATGCATGAAAGGGAAAAGCAACAATACTTTGAATGCTGATCTGAGTTTCTCATTTAGTGAAGAGCAGGAGAAGGCGAATTTTAGATACTAGTCCAGGCTGACCTCACAGGTATGTGCCACCATGCCTGATTTATGCTATACTGTGAAATGAACCTAGGTGTTCCTGTACGCCAGGTAAGACTCTATCAAATGAGCTATACCTCCAGTTGGAGTATTTTGCTTTTATCTTTCCATTTACTTGTTTGTTAGAATAGTGTCTTTATATATACTTGGTTTTGATACTATGTAGTACCAGCAAGATGGGCCTGAAGGAAAGTGGATGGGAGTGGGCATCCTCTGTTTGAGAAACCCATTTTGAATGTGAACTCTAATTCCTAGTAACTATATGTACAGCATTTTTAATTACAAGGGTCAATATATCATAGTTTTCTTGCCCTTGTGGTCTATATGAATTAGTTTAAAAACTATTTTTAGTTTTCTGCAAATGAGATTGCATCTTGCTAGGTGTGATGGTGCATACTTTGTAACTTCAGTGAAGGTAGAGGCAGGAGGATAAGGAGTTCCAGGTCATCCTCACTTCAATAGGAAGTGTGACGACAGTTTGGACTACATGAGTCCGAATCTCAAACCATCCCCCACCGTGAAAAAAAAATCAAAAGACAAAGAAAGGAAAGGATAAGGGTCAATGAATAATGAAGACTAGCCGAAAATATCTAAACCACACACATACATTTAATATATTAGAAAAGCAAATAACTCATATGCATGTATATGCATGCTAGACATGTCTGTATCTCCCAATTCCTTATAGCCCAAAATCCACCACTAGAACTGAGTATAGATGTAGCTCACTTCATAGAGTACTTGTCTCATACTCACAAGAGCCTTGGGTTAAATCCCCAACACTGCACACAACTGGGCTGCACAGACACACAACTGTTAATCCTAGCACTCTAGTGGCAGAGGCGAGAGATTAGAAGTTCAGTGTCACCCGCTGCAGACTACAAAGTGACTCTGAGGACAGTCTGCGATGTTTGAGGCCATGTCTCAAAAAATAATAAAAAGTAAAATCCACAAGTAAGAACCGAAGTATCTATTTACAAGGCTGTACAAAATAGAGTCATAGCAGAACAATATTATGCTCACAAGAGTCAAATGTAACTCGGAAACGAACACCCTATTTTTCCCAGCCCCAGCCCCCTCCAGAAATTCTGTTTCCTGAAGCTTTAGAAATGTATTATAACTCAAGGAAACTCATTAAAAGAAGAGCATTTCATTAGGGAACTTGCATTTGTTTAATTTCAAACTACAGTAATACTTCTTAACGAGGTATTCAAGGTACTAAATTTATTTTTGATTGCATTTATTTTAAATTCTTAATCATCCTTAATTAAGAGCCAGTAGCATTCAATTTTTGAGGATTAGTTACTGACAAAGAGCTACAGATTATTTTTCAACATAAAAATAATTCAAACATTGAAATTCAAGAATTGGAAAGTCACTGTATCAAAATAGATCTGTGATAGACAACACAAAACCATACTGTCATGGATTCCAAAGTCAAAAGATAGCAAGTACTTATAAGAAAGAGCCAGCCGAAAAATTTTCATTATTTATAGGTAAATACTACTATTGATGGATGATAGATTCAAATGATTAAATGATTTGAGTCCAATAGTTGAATTCATTTCAGACCCAAACTGTATCACCAAAAAAAACCCCACAAAATATTAAAGCCTTGATCTTAAAATTAAAACAAAATAACATGAGGCCAAATACCACTACTTTGACCATTACATTCAAATGGAAAAATATTTAACTACATGTTTAAAATTGTTGCAGTTTCAATGCTTGCCATCTTAAATTTAGCCTCTGAGCAAGACACATTCAGTAAGTAACAGCTAGGAAACTTCAAATGACTATGAATAATTTATGGTTGCTGTAGTCAAAAACCTATAATAAGATTGATTTTGAGAGTGACCAACTAGAGCCAGTACGCATAACCATATACTATTATTCAAAATCCCAGTGCACAGCCAAACATCTACCCACTCACACTACCTTTCAAAACCCAGATGGGGATCCATCTAGTAATCAACTGGGCCTCCATGAAAATCACACAAGACTCCTCCTTGCTCCTGAGCAACTCATTATAAATTTAATATGTCACTATCTTCCTTCTTTCTATCCAACCGTTTTCTTCCCATTATATAACTTTTCACAAACAGACTGCCTTTAATAAATAGCACGTAGCTGGAAAACTATAAGCTAATGATCACTTACCATGATGATGCTTATCCCCAAAGCTGCCTTTTCTCTGGGTTAACATATCAACTCTATGTCATTAAGAGTCACTACTCAACCAGACAATTTTAATTACATGCCCACATGTAAAGAACATTGCGTTAGTTTGAAGACAGTTGATATAATACATATTTTTCCTTGTAAAAATCATGTACTTGCCTTGTGTCTGCATTTAAGCACAACTCCATAGGCTCCTATAAATTAAAAAGAAGAAAGCAATCAGAGACATGCATACAAACTATAGCTCTATATTCATATTGCTTAGGAGCATATGTTAGAAAAACAACACCTATGGCAATATTCTAGAGTGACAAACTCATGAGACATACAAACAGAGCATGGATCTGTTAGTATGGATTTTTATAAACCAACAGTATAGACAAGTCATTGCTTTCAATAAGTATCTTGAAATGCTTCTTTTTTAAAAAAAAAATCTTTACAAACCTTGTCTCAAAAAAAAAGAAATATTCGCTACACACATTTGTTATTTTAGGCAAGAAGGGGCCAAATACATAAATAAAATAAATAAACAGATCATAGGACTGTGAGGCTGTGTGAACTGGTTATAGTGGTGCACATGGTAGGCACAGCACTTGGAAGTCTGAGGCAAGATGGCTGCCATCAGCATGAGGCCATCATGGACTGCATAGCCAAGACAGTCAGGGGTACACAACAAGACAACATCTCAAATAAAAATCAACTCAGTAGGTTCTAGGGAACGTAAAACTAAGGGTAAGGTCAAACGCAGAGCTTACCCATGTAAATTCAGTCCTAGGAATCACATAATACATCTTCTGGAATACTGTAATATATTTCCTAACAAGTGGAATATTCTATGTTGGAGCTAGGGGTGAGGTTCTGTGGTAGAGTGCTTGCCTCCCATGCATGAGGTCCTGGGTCCTATATTCAGTATCACATGTACACACATGCCCTCCAAAATGACTAGACTCAGTAATCCCATTATATAGTAAGATTTTCTATCCTTCTAAGCACAAAAGCTCAGCTTAGGAGCACAGGCCCCAAGAACTCCCACTTTCTTTGGTTTATTCTGATATGATCTCTTCCTAGCTCTTGAGTTAGCCATCCTATTATGTCGGCAGTAAACTCAAAGAAACAGTATCTTGGCAGGAAAGTACCCAGAAAACTAAGGTTAAAGTTACAATATGAAAAATCTAATTAAAAGAATCAAGACAGCGGGGGGGGGGGGGGGGGGGGGGGCGGAGGGGCTGCACACCTTTAATCCCAGCACTCAGGAGGCAGAGATAGCTGGATCGCTGTGAGTTCAAAGCCAGCTTGGTCTACAGAGTGAGTTCTAGGACAGTCAGAGCCACAGACAGAGAAACATCCCCCCTCTCTCTTTCTCTACCTCCCTCCCTCCCCCCTCTCTCTCTCACACACACACATGCACACACACAAAAAGAATCAAGACATAACATATGATGGGGCTCTAAAGAACCATGACAAACATGTTTGTTATCAAACAGGTAATTCCTGAATGCAAGTATGAGAAGGGGGTGAACTTGAGTGAGATGAAACTGGGAACTATGTCTCTAAGACATACCTTAAAGTGGCTCCTTCATTTTGCTGGAGAGGCATGACTCTTAGAATCATAGTTAAGATGGAAGCAGCAATTAGAACCATCCAAATGAACGCCACAGTTACCAGGAAATAGGCACTCCACAGAAACTTTTCCATAAAGTGAAAATGCATCATCTAGGCCACAGGAATGTGTATGCCAGACAGATGCACTTCCTACCCCAAATCCAACCGAGTGAGTTTACTAAGAAAAAGCGGAACAACAATGTCTGACTTAAACAAATAGCCTTGCAATTTTGGCTAATCTGAACCAATACCTAAGAAGATTATCGTTAACTGCCGCTTAGAAAGAGAAGGTTATCTAGGCAGTCAGACCCAAACTTTGGACCATTCCAACCTTGCTATACTCGACACGCCCTTCTCCCTTGATTGCATACATCTTTAACTGCAATAGCTTTGAAAGATAAAATGTGGACAAGCAGTATTGAAACCTTATTTTCTACATTCATTTACGTATAGGGGAGCGCACACATGCCACAGTGCATGTGGAAGGAGAGGACGGCTCCTTTGACCTGTGGTTCTGGGACAGAACTCAGGTTCTCAGCATTGGCGGCTTCAAGCATCTTTGCTGGCCCGAAAAGGCAAATTTTATAAAACAGGTCAACAATTAAGAGTCAATTTTCATACATAGGATCAATGAAGAGAAGAAGAGGAGTTGGCTAGTGAAGGAAGAAGAACCAAATGGTGTGGTCTGAACCTTAGACCTTGAATCAAGCACCTAATTTACAATCAGACTCTCATAGCTTCTATTTATTTGCAAAGGATTTGGCAACATAATATTAAAATCTTGAAGAGCTCTGTAAAATTTTTAAATTTTTGAAATTCAAATTTTATTTTAAAAGCCTAAAATACAAAATTTTGTAATATTTGCTTTTTATATAAATGCTAAGAAACCACATTTTCACTGATACTGTATTAAAATAATTTTTATAAATTTCTGCAAATTTATTTCTAAGAGTCAAAATGACTAAGCAAGAAAAATAGGGTAATTATCTTTTTCTAGAATTCTATTTTTGAAGAAATAATTATACTCTATCAAATCAATAGTGTCTTTGATCATAAAAGCATCATGTTATGTACTACAATAAAGAAAAATTGATAGCATTAAACCCTAACATGCATGCTGATTTAAGATGTTATAAAATACAACCGAACTGTGTACCTGAAAGCTTTTAAACTATGGTCTGTTATTCTCAAATAAATGGAAGTTATTTCTCTGTTTACCATATAGTGAATTAAAGTTAGCATACACAAATAAAATTTAAGTTACTTAATATAAGCTTAAATGATATACAATGTAAAAATAACAAAAATCCATAGACTAAGGAAACAATACTAGTGAAAAGAATAAAAACAGGGCAGTTTTAAAATATCCCTGATTGCCAGGGATGGTGGCTCATGCCTTTAATCTCAGCACTCCAGAGACAGGCAGAACTCCGAGTTCAAGGCCAGCCTAGTCTAAAGAGCAAGTTCCAGGACATCAAAGGATACATAGAGAGACTTGGTCTCAAAAAAAATCTATTAAACTTTAATGTTTTTTAATGTTATTGGTTTTCACTTGGAATAAGAAGAACAGTTTTATTTTTACTGCTGCACACTTAGGTGCACATCTGAATTGGTACGATAAATTAAGAGGATCTGAATGAAGTTTTTGGTGATGAATGAAATGATAAAATGTTCCGAAGTTCAAAGGTGAAATTCTAACTTACCTTCACCTACAACCCCAAGGATCTCAAATTTATTCATCACATTACCAATGTTAGGAATCTTCATGAAGACAAACTCCTCTTTTGATGTAGGCCACAGAACATGGCACCAAAAAAAAAAAAAAAGGAACTTCTGAAAAAATTATTCAGTAAGCAGAAAAAAGAAGGTCCCAACGAAGAATGCTTGGCAAGGAACTTTCATACATTTATTCAATGATGACGTATTAAACATGTCCCTGAAAGAACAAACACAGTGAAACACCGTTAGCATTATGTTACAACACTCAACTTATAGCATTGCACAACGTTTTCTAAACCATGTTATTGTTTCTTTCGTATGCTGTAAAAAAAATTAGGGAGAAAGAACCTCAAATGAAATGAACCTCTTATAATTTAAAATTAATACCACGACCACAATTAAGGGGGACCAGTTAACTTTTGAACATGGTACTTTACCTAATATCCTCAATCTCATAACAACAACGTTGTACTCAACCACTCAGATTGGAGATGTTTTCTTTAATGGTGATAGGATAATTTCTTAAAGACAGTCTCACTATGTAGCCCTGGCTGGAACTCAGACATCCATGTGCCTCTGACAGCCATGTGCTGGAGTGCTGAGACTAAAGTTGTGTGCCATCACACCTAGACGACAAGAAACTTCTCATCTATATTCTAGAACTGAACAGGTAAATAAATATGTAGTAACTAATGAGACATCTGTTTCTGTTGTGAATTATTTTTATTCTTTGGGAATTTCATACATGAAGATTCATCACACACACACATACATACACACACAGACACACACTTTGCTTCCCTCAGCCTGAACCTCGAACTCCTCCTAGACACCTACTACCACTTTCTCCTTCCCAACTTCGTGTCTTTTCTTTGTAAAACATAGAGTCCAGTTAGTATAGCCAGGATGTGCATGGGTATAGGGCGCCATCCACTGGAGCACAGACAACCTACCCTGGGCCACATCTCTGAAGGAGACCGACAGCGTCTGCTAACTGCCAATAGTCTCTCTGCTCAAAGAGGGGCCTTCTGAGGCCTACCTTCCCCGTGCTGAACTGAGACTTTCATCTCTTACCCTCACAAAAGAAATACAAATGCGAAAGGGCAAGAAAATGACATAAATGTTTATGTCCTCGCATACATATATGCCCTACCTCTGTGCCATGGGGGCGCCTCCAGGTAGTATACAGCAACAGCTCTGAGCACAGTGCATATTCTAGGGAAAGGACTTTGGGTTCTTTGGAGAAGTGACTAATTTAAGACTAGAGCAGAAAAAGTTGCAGAGCCAGAATGTAAGGAAGCGCTCAAAGAACAACCGGGGCATATCAAGTGAACTCAGGAGGCAAGCTAAACTGATTCATACTGGCCATATGGGTAATATCTCAAAAGTAAAAAAATAATGAAGATAGTAATAAATTATAGTCTGCAGACTAAAATAAAAATGTGTTCATAAATAAATGCAGGCAAAGCTTTTTATGAAGCTTTCTAACAAATAATAAAAGTAGTGATGGAATTACAAACTCTCCATTTGGCAATAACTCTGCTAATAATTACTTCAGGCAAGTGTCACCAATATGTGCTAAAACTTACAGTTGAAAGTTACAGGAAAAGCGATATATCTTATCTCAAAGGATCCACTGACATGACACCTATTACTTGCAAAAAGACAAGGTGTAATTTTAATGGTGAAGAATCCTGCCAGACACAACCATAATTAAGCAATCAAAGTATACGGTCAATAATGGAAGAAACCAACATTATGTCTCCTGAGAAAATACACCACATCACAACTTCTGTGGCAATTCTACCACAAATGTAAAGCCCAAATCGAGCCAGACATGGTGGTATACGACTGTCATTTCAGCACTTGGGATGCTGAGGCAGGAGGATCAGCAGTCCATACCTAGCCTCGGTCAAATTGTGAGTTCAAGATCAAAACAAAGCAGACAAAATTGACATGCTTACACATTAGTACTGCTTACACAGTACTGTCTACAGTACTGAGTGTGACAATACTGATGTTCTAGAAAACAATGCTCTAGTTTGTTTGTTTGTTGTAGTTCTATTTAAAAAAATAACTTTTGCCCTGATTCTTCTACAAATAATAACTAAGTTTTAAAAAATGTTATAAAAGTAAGAAAAATTCAAACTAAGTATTTTTTTGTTGTCTGTAGAATCTCAAACTTAAAAAATGTAAGAGTACCCTATGTAATATGTAGACAGGAAGTATTCTCTCAGACATGATGGTGGGAATGCAAATTAGGACAAGACTTCCACAGAATTAGCATGTTCATAATTAAATGATTTTTAAATGTCCTTATCCTGATAAAGATATGTGACTACACAGAACCTGCAACAGCTAGGCATAGTGAAATGCCCTGTTAATCCCAACACTCAGAGGTAGAGGCAGAAGGGTTTCCACGTGTTCAAGGCCAGTCAGATCTACACAGTCAGATGTTATCACAAAAAAAGTAAAAGGAAAACAAAAACAAAAACCTGCAACCAATCGTCTTAAATGTAAAATTATCAGGCAGTTTTTGTTTTGTTTTAATTAAATACATTGGGACTGGAGAGATGGCTCAGTGGTTCAGAGAACTTTGTTCTTATAAAGGATCCAACTTTGGTTCTCAGCACCTACATAGGCTGCCCACAAGTGCTTATAACTTCAGTTCCGAGGGATCCAACACCCTCTTCTGGTCTTCTGGGGGTACTGCACTCATGTTCACAATTAAAACTAAAATCTTTAAAAGTAAATATTAAGCTGGGCAGAGGTGGTGCACGCCTTTAATCCCAGCACTCAGGGCGCAGATGTAGGCAGATCTCAGTGTTTGAGGCCATCCTGGTCTACAGAGCTAGCTCCAGGACAGCTAGGGCTGCTATACAGAGAAATCCTGTCTTGAAAAACCAAAATAGAGGGGGCTGGAGAGATGGCTCAGTGGTTAAGAGCACTGCCTGCTCTTCCAAAGGTCCTGAGTTCAATTCCCAGCAACCACATAGTGGCTGATAACCATCTGTAATGAGATCTGGTGCCCTCTTCTGGCCTGCAGGCATACACACAGACAAAATATTGTATACATAATAAATAAATATTAAAAAAAACAAAATAGATATTAAAAAATATATCATTGAACTCTACCTATTCATACTTATTTTCTAAACATTATTAAAACGTGTTAGGTTCTAGGCTTTCCAGCAAAGTATGGGGTACATGTACACACATAAATTTATAAAATGTAGAGGATTCAAAAGAGAGAACTATAGATATTATCTATAAATGTACAAGAAATCGGAAATGGTGATGCACACCTATGGCCCCAGCATTCAGAAAGAAGGTAGTCACAGGAGGCCAGCCTGGACGATAAAGTGACACCCTGTGATAACAAACAAACAAGAGGGGCTGAGGACAGCTCAGATAAGAAAAAGAATTTTTGAATTTTGGAACTTGAGGTCAACTCCTGGGATCCCATGATGAGAGGAAAGAACCAACTACCAAGGGATATCCACTCCACACACGTACACATACACAGAAATGATAAATAAAAAAAATAAAATAGGAAAAAGAGAGATGGGGAAGTGGAAAGGGAAAAGAACAAGAGAGGGGAGGATGGGAAGGAAAAGTAGGGAAGGAGGGGAGAGGAAAGGAAGGGGAAAAGTTAGTTTACATTGCCCCCACGTACATTCTCACCATCAGATCTAACAAAGCGAGTCCTGTCTACTTACCTACCCTATATGGGACCCTTACTTTTCACAAGTTTCAGATCCCATAAGCAGGCAGCAAAGGCAATTTCTTTGTTTATATTTATTTCTTCCTTTTAAAACAGTTATTGTTTGCAGAAGTAGGACAGGAGGGAGGGAGGGAGGGAAACGTGACAGGATAGTAACTGAAAACTGTTAGAAGTTCAGAAGCTAACAAGGGAGCGGAACATAGACTTCATACATAAATATCAACATAGTTGTAAACATCTAAGTAGACCACATTTACAAGAACAAAAAGAAAAATTTAGGATTTTACATGACAAAAGATAATTAAGATCTCTCTAATGCAAATGCATAAAACCTTTTTCAAAGGCATTAAAGAAAACCTAAATAAATAAAAATTATTCAAATTTTAAGACTAACATGGTTCAATGCTACAAAAATGACAACTCGTCTCATGTTAATCCATATAGTCGATGCAATTCTCATCAAGCAAGCTGATTACAAAGTCTACATAGAAGAGCAGAGTTACAAGTAGAAGCGATTACCCCTTTTTATAAGGAGAAAAGGAGAAAAGAATGCAAGTCAGGCCTAGGCAGGAAGGCATGACTGAATACTCTGCAGAATATACGGAGCATTCTAACGGGGCTATGGAAACTAAGAAGGTGCTCCTGGCTCCAGACTGGCACGGTCAGGTAGTGTAACAGATGCAAACACAAAGAAGAAGCAGTATCAACAATAAGACAATATCCCTACCATTTCGTGCAATCCTGATAGGACTCAGGGTAACTTTTTACGGTTAAGTCAGATCACGTTGCTTCTCACTAAAGTCTCTAGAATGACTTCCCACACCATTAAAAGGAAAGGCGAAGTCCATCTTCAAGCCACACCCCTGCCACCTGTCTTCTGAAAATATCCACTAGTTCCCAAGTTGGGCTGCTTGGCTCCAATCACACTGATCCCTTTCACTACACTTTCTTCAGAAAACTAAAGCATGTCCCCTCCATCTAAGCACAGCCCTGTACGTGAGTGGTTCGCAACCCTCCTAAGGCTGCAGCCCTTTAATACAATTCTTCATTGTGTAGTGATCCCCAAGCATAAAATTATGTTCACTGCTACTGTAATGTTGCTACTGTTACCAATCATAATATGTTTTTGTAGATAGGTTTTGCCAAAGGGGTTGCAACCTACAGGCTGAGAACCACTGCTTTAAGGGTTTTGCAATAATAGTCAGTTAAACAAAAGTTACAATCATTTGTTGCTGTTGTTTTTGAGATGGGGGTCACAAAATCTATAGCCTAGGCTGGACTCAAATTCATGGCAATCTTCCTTCCTCGGTCTCTCAACTGCTGGGATCACAGGTATGTGTTGGGATATCTGTCTTACAGTGTTCCAATTTGAAAAAAAAAATCTTCTATTGATTCGTTTAACAGTTCATTCCCAGACTGTCTCCCATGTTCCAAAGGATGGGAAAATAAGACCCACAAGGGAGGGTGAAGGGAAAGTACTTGCTACACAAAGC